TTATGGTATATTGGCTCATATACCATAATGGCTAAGCCAATAAAAAGTCTTGAATTGCATTATCCAATGATCCAGTTTTTAATAATAAAAATTATCGCGCGATAATTTCCATTTATGGCGCGATAGATTATCATTTATCGCGCGATAATCTATCATTTATCGCGCGATAATCTATCATTTATCGCGCGATAAAAAAAATGTGTCATGTCCCATATGGGCCACCGTACGATCTACGCAGTAATAAATTTAAACACGACCTAACGCATTGATACCAATGTCAAAATTTTGGAGAAACCAGAAAAGCAAGCACGATATTAATGCGCAGTAAATTTTTAAAAATCATCTTTTCCCAAAAACAAAGCTCCAGTGAAAGAACACTAAGTATGAAATTATTTCCGACGAAAAGAGCGATGGATGCAGTATAAGTTTTTACTCAAAAGTCAAGATGAAGGATGAAAATCGCGAAATATTTTTGCATGCGGGTAAAGATACGGTGGCCCCTGTGGGCCACCGTAAGATCGCCCTCTCAGACTCATGATAAATATTTTGGCTCGAAAACACCCGCAGACCAGCTAGGGGCATCTAATTTCTCGATTGACAGAACACTCGACCGACGAAAAAATTCTCGACAAACAGGAAAATTCTCGCTTGCAAAAAAATTCTCGATCGACAAAATAAATTCTCAATCTACCAAAAAATTCTCAACCAGCAAAAATATTGTTCGACCGATGAAAAAGTTTTCTCGATCCTTTAAAATATTTCTGGACGATCGAAAATATTTCTCGAAAGACAAAATTATTTCTCGACCAACAAAATCGTTCTCGACCACTTTTGTCCAGTATGACTTTCTATAACAAAAGCTCTAACCAAAAATCAAACAAGTCGGATACAGATGATCGAAGTGCAGATGAATCACAAATAAAACTTTGAGGCGAGCGTGACGTCAGATGTTTACGAAATCCGACCGAAGACAAGATAGTCTCCCCCGCAGCCGTGATGTTTCGGTCACGCAACGCTCCCTCACAGACACTGTGAGGGAGCGTTGCGTGACCGAAACATCACAGCTACGGGGAGACTAAAGAAAGAGGGCCTTTCGACGGATGTTGACGCGTGCTGACCGTTATCTAGTGCTTTCCATATTTTATCCATTTATTACTATTTCATATATCGTCTCACCAATGGCGGAAGTTGGCCCAGAAACTAGCCCTCAATCTAGCCCTTTCCATATTGAAGCCATGATTCTTGCTTATGAAGAAGTCACGACGTCTGAAAAACGATTGAAAGCCAGATTTTTAAAAGATGTCAAAGTTAAAGAGAGAGACTCGAAACGACCGATGGTTGAAAGGCCGGTATGGCCGTATGAATACTGGCGCACTAACTATACAGACTTCGACGATTTGGAGGCTAGCAGTACTCGGGATTTCAATCCACAGACTCGACGTCGCGTGCCTTTAAACGTGACAAGTGAAAGTCAAGCATCACAAAAAGGAGATTGGGATCATTTCAGTTTGCCAGAGACCAGACAAAACGAAGTAAACCCGGTGACATATGAAGCTAACACCGCGAAGGCCGAATCCACGGCCGAGCACTCCTCAGAGGGAATGAATAATGCCATCCAAAGAGCGATTAACGTGCTATCCGATCTGCAAGACTTAACATCAGTATTTCTTAAGATTTACAGTGAGGCAGGAGAAAAAGATTTAACAGTGAAAGAAGGTGAAAAGACGCAGGTAACACTGGCCGAAGGAAATCCCGACATATCGAAACCGGAAGTAATGGATGAACACCAACAAAGAGAATTAGCCAAGGGGAATGATCAGTTTCCAGGTATCACGCCAGATAACACTCTTAGTTTTAATTTAAAATCCAACAGCAACACATTCGAAGGCTCAGAAGAACAAAGAACTAACAGTCCAACAGAGGAGTCAAACACACAAAGCAAAGAAATAGTAGCCAAGGATCTTACTCTAAAGAACACATCTTTCCCTGGGGAGTGTGAAGTTCCGCTTGCAGAAGAAGAATCTGAGACGGAACAGAGTTCTGAAGGTGGAGATACAAAGGAAGACCTTGGTACACTCGACTGTCTTAACAAGGACACTTGCATCAACGTAGAAATGCGATCCGAAGAAACCCTAGTGGAAACAAAGATTGGTTTAAAGGGAAAAAGAGCAGATGACTCTAAAGAGAGGCAACCCACAATTGTTGAATCAGAGCAAGACACAAGGGACAGATATATCAATAAAACCCTTGAGTGCAGTAAAGAGATTAGCACACCTGAGATACCTCATTTTAAAAGTGAATTGCAAGTTCCAGTTTCACAACATTCTGTATTACACAATTTTATCCAAAAATGGTTACCAAGAATCAGCATTGATGAGGCCACTAGTCAATACATCAGGCATTTAGTAAGAAGTTTAATGGACAAGACCATCCTTCAACTGCAGGAAGCATGTCCTATATTCTCCAATTGCTACATCATAGAAACTGGAAGTATGGCAGAGGGTACCAAGATAGGCCACCCTGATGAGTTTGATTTCACTGTTGCCCTTCCTGTGCTGGCTGATCCAGATATGGCAGAACTATTGTATATCAAACTTGGAATACAAGCACGGCTTCATGAACAAATGTCTGACAAGGTTCTTTCTTTCCTGAGCCAGCTTTCTTCGGTGGATACTTCTTATGGCAAATTGCTTACAAATGCTTTTCTCCTCCAGGTTTTCCGTGACACTTTAAGGAAACATTTACCAATGGGATGGGAAATGTTACAGGAAAGTAACATGCACATGATGAGAGTATTTCTAAAGAATCAGACTTTAACCATTCATTTACAATGTACCTCTGGACCACATTCAGGTTTTATCCTGTCTATTGATGTATGTTTTGGGATTCCTCTTAACACCGAGCGACTTCAGACTGTTCTTGTTGGAGATGGTTTTCATGCTGTTCATCTTTCCCACGTTCAAAGTGATTGTATGCGATTGAACACGGGAGTCGTTGCAGTTATCAGTCGAAACCCTTTGGTTGGAGCACGTTTGTTTTATGAAACAGAGCCGTACAGATTTCACTGCAACAATTTGGCTGTAGACTGTTACAAACTTTCAAAACATGTAGCAAACATGTTTCTGCCAAAAATCAAGAAAAACAATTGTAGTTTATGTGAGGACACCTTGATCCCATCCTTTTACATGAAAACTGCAGTAGTTTTCATGATGGATGTCTACACTGAGGAAAATGACTGGTCTGGTGTTCAGCTTGGAAACAGACTGATAGAAATATTTGAAATTTTATACCGTTGTTTCTTACACCAATATTTAGCTTACTACAGCTATCCAAATAATGGTCTACAGCAAGAGCAGGCAATGATATATAATCCAACAAATGGCAGCCTTAAGGTGGGGATTGGCTTGGATGATGACAAACCTTGTGCTATCCCATGTTTGGAAGACCTTAATTTTGCAACATCTCACAGAGACACGACCATTGCAGTTAAAAACTACTGGAGATACATGCAAAGTGAAGAATGGACAGTCTGTGACCTGCTACACAAACTCACTGAGATCCTCTATGTCTTCAAATTTACAGAATAACTTTCTTTCAAATCTTTCCTACATTAGCATGTGTGGTGTTTCTTAGGTCAATTTAAGACCTGCATGGAACCAGCAGGCTTCTTAATTTAGCAAAGTAATAATGTTCACAGATTAGAACACTGCAGTTACAACATCCAACAAATATTAGATGTAGTTTCTATCAAATTGTATGGGTGATGGTTTAGGTGGAACCAATATTCTTGTATTAGGAAAATTAATCATAATGATTATCTACCTTTTTATATCTGAACAAACAGGCTATGGGTATCACTAGTGTTTTAAGAATCCATCAAAAATTTCTCTAGAGTTATGTTTATTTCAGTCTTCAAAATCAAGAGTGCAATGCAGTAGATTACAAGAAATCTAAAGGTCTTTACTATGTTAAAACATAATTTTCAGTGCAATTTTTTAACAGTATCAAAGTTAATAACAAGCCAACATGTCGTAAGTCAGACAAGCTGAAGAGAAAAAATTAATCATCAAGACTTGAGAGGAAGTGGCAGTAGAGAGATTTTTCATTGGAAAACAAAAACAACAATTTAAAATAAAAAGTGTTAATTAAATTCTTGCATACTACATGTATGTAAAAGTACATTCTTTTTCACCCAAGACTTGACAAGAAAAGCAGAAATCTAAAATGTACAAAGCAATACAGCTGTTTGTCCTAAAGTGGCCTAAGATTAGCTTTTGCTGCTCTACTGAGGTTTTGAATGTCCAGAGCAGGTAGAGCCCTTAAGTTTACAAATCTCATGGGATTTAAAGCCACCCTCTCCAGATGAAACAACATACAAGGTACATTACCTACAACATGAAAAACAGGTTTTAATCTAGAAACTGTTATTTAGACTATGCCCAAATGTAGCTTAGACCAAGCTGTCAGTAGTACAGTTCATGTAGATCACTTACATGTAAAAAGGCATCCAAACTGTGAAGGGTTTAATTTGCAGATGTGAAGGTCTAGTGTAACTGCATGTATGTTCCACTTTGTATGGTATGGTTTTCAGTCAAGCATCTTCATGAATCTGGGATAGTTTGCTTACTATTAGTCAGAAATCAGAGAGTTTGGGTCTAGAACAGGGTATCCTGTTCCACCAAACTGTTCAGTTGGTTGAAGATTTTTAGTCTAGACTAGGGAAATTGGGAATAAAAAAATCATCAAATTCAAATTTGCCCACAACTCATTTTAATAACAAAGTAAGTAACAACTTTAAGAAGTTTGGAAAATAGCAGCTCTAGGAAAGGAAGGGATTTTGGGCACGTCTCCACTCAAAAATTCCTTTATAGTTGTACCCACACTTGCACTTGAATCATCTTAAAATTGAATTCCTTCAGCTAAGTCCTACTCTATTACAAAATGTTGAAAAATGGTAGAGTATTCTCATGAGGTGAAAATATGTTGGTACAAGATTGAAAATGTCTCACTTTTTTCTCTTTCACCAACCAATAGATATCTGTATCAGAGGAGCATTAAACACTTGCTTGACAGTTGTAGTCACCCCTTGTCATGAAGAAAATTCTCTTGCTCTACTGCCCAAGTTAGTTCTTCAGTCCACATCACACAGATAAATTCTAGAGGAAAACACAACTAAGTACTGTAAATAAAGTAGTCAAAGTTGACAATCCTTTCATGCAAGTTGAAACTAGAGGGTACTTGTCTAAAAATATTTTCACTTGCACAGTTAATTGTTGTTACCATTTGTTGCAAATTTTTCTTCACTTTCATTGGTTGAGAGCTCACCATGTGACCCTCAAAAAAACTGCACACTTTTCCATCCTTGCTATTGCTCTTATGTAAAAATGGCAGATTTCTTCCCTTCCTGAAGATATTAATTAAAAGAACAAACTCGGTGATCGAATAATAAAACAATTATTGAACTTGGTTATTGCAAAATATTGTGATTTGTCAGTGTCTTGCCTGCTCGCCACCGACAAATCACCACATTTTGCTCAACCTCATCCAATAATTGTTAATTATGAGTAAAAAAAATATGTGTATTCAAATCAAATTTGCTGCCTTTTTCAATAAACAGCCATGGATACAACAGATAACTTAAACAGTTTTTTTTTCTAGGTTTCTTTCCCTTAAAACATACAACTCAGGGTGAGGCAGTTAATAAGGCCACTGGATAGATCAATGGGGGCAGAGAGAGGGGCTAGCCAAGCCTATGTCTCATACATCCTAAAAGAGATCATTATTTTGGGACAAAAATAATATCACACTGGTTTAATGTAAAAGCAAATTGCTAAGGTTTAAAAACAAACCTACATTAATCATTAAATTAAATATTAAATTAAATATCAAATTAAATATCTCTCTTACTAAAAATCAGCATCAAGAGTGAACACATAATTATCCATTCTGTCATTCATTACACCATTCTTCTGGTATTCACCAACTCTACGTTCATAAAAATTAGTTTTCCCTTCCAATGAAATGTTTTCCATAAATGGAAAAGGATTTGCCGTTTTGTAATGTTTTTTTAATCCTAATGCAACCAAAAGCCTATCAGCTACAAACTCTATGTACTTTCCCATTAGGTTACAGTTGATTCCTAAAAGGTGACAAGGTAAGGCTCTTATCCAAAATTCTTTCTCTATGGTCACTGCCTCACTTAAAATCTCACCAACACGATCTTCACCTGGCTTTTGCCTCAAATGTGAAAAAATTAAGCATGCAAAATCACAATGAAGTCCTTCATCTCTTGATATCAACTCATTAGAGAAGGTAAGTCCAGGCATTAAGCCCCTTTTTTTAATCCAGAAAATAGATGCAAAAGCCCCAGAAAAGAAGATTCCCTCTACAGCAGCAAAAGCCACAATTCTTTCCCCAAAAGTTGCAGTAGAGTTCTTATCCATCCATTTAAATGCCCACTCGGCTTTCTTCTTCACACATGGGAACGTTTCAATAGCACTGAAGAGTTTTTGTTTTTCATCTCGGTCCTTAATGTAAGTGTCAATCAATAGACAGTACATTTCTGAGTGAACGTTCTCCATTGCAATTTGAAATCCATAGAAACATCTCGCCTCAGGAACTTGTATCTCCTGGTAAAATCTTTCAACTAAATTTTCCCCAACAATGCCATCACTCGCGGCGAAGAATGCCAGAACATGAGATATAAATTCTTTTTCTTGGGTATTCAGCTTCTTCCAGTCGTACATATCGAGTCCGAGGTCGACCTCTTCGACTGTCCAAAATGAGGCGACGGATTTCTTGTAGAAATCCCAGATGTCAGGAAATTTTACGGGAAATAAAACAAACCTGTTAGGATTTTTCTGAAGCAGGGGCTCCTCGATTTCGTCCTTTGGCAGATTCTTTCCAAACATCGTAATTCTCAAAGTTAGATTGGTAAAATGTCCACACGTGTTCTGAGGGTAGTTCCACTAGTGAAGAAATTGTAAGCCACATGTTGCAACATTACGTCACAGCAAAACTAATGTACGCGCAGTGCAATCAAAACAACCAAGAATTCGAAAGAAAACCTCACTCAATGCTTATGTGGCTACTGAGCTGTTCTTTCCTCGAAATCGATTGTGGATCGTGCGTAAAGTATTGCATAACGTAAATCACACAGACCATAAATGCCAATGGTATTGAGCTTCAAAACAACAACACGAACGTCGAATCGACAAGTAGAGACTGGGTGATCTTAGCAACCTGGCCTCAGAGCTTTATCGCCAGGCAGCGTAGCTCAAGGAAAAATGGCGGACGATACCTACCGAAGGGCAGTTATATGCCAAATTTCTAACGAAGATTTTATTTCCTTCTGTGATTCTGATCTTCCCTTCGTGGAAGTTATCGTTTCTGTAGCTAATGGGGATTCTACATTCATCGAAGAGGTGGGAAAGAGGTTTGCATTAGAGATAAGAACAGGCCTTCAAAATTTCACCACAGAGAAGGGTTTGGTACTGAACG